ATTACACTCATTTTTCATCAAGTAAATAACTTATCAACTAAAATCCATGTTGACTAATCAAACTTGCCAAACAAATTGTTCTCTAAATAGAAAATATATCAGTGGTAAATTAAGAATTCGAAAAATACAAGTCAATCCCAATCCTATATTGGATTTCTTGTGCAGTGGGACATCCTTGCGTTTCTATATCTGCCTTATTGGGTGACTCTTCCGCGAGACATCCTTGCACTGCTACATGTCTCATTTGTCTGCTTCTATAAGAGGATGAGTATCTCCACGACCACAAGGAATCAGAGCTAAGATGATGGCGAAGAACTTAGCGTAATATGCATATATATATATATACACACGCATAGAGAAAGAAAGATCGATACAGAAAGATGAAAGCATTTGAGGTTTTTTGTTTGTAAACCCACTTCACATGTGTTAATGGAAATGTTCCTATCATGAGAAAAGAAAAATAAGTTTGACTTGGGTGTTGTAAATAGTGAATCCAAACATATTGTTTTGTGTTGTTAGCAATGAAGCAAACACCATGATCTAATACCAAGTCAACAAGTCAATAATCACTCAAGTCATTGTTCAACGTACTCGGTTATAATGTTCCTTATTCAATGATCGAAGGATAAGTTGAACCCTATACCCTCATTACATGAATATATGTTAATTATGATGCATGCAGCACAACTTACGGTCATCCAACTTTGAACGCAATATGACTCGACGAAGTGTGAAAGCAGCTTTCTTAGGATGTTTCATGCTGATGGACAAAAAATTGTTGAGAGGTCTCTGTAAGTGTTTTACTGTCAAATATGATCTTATCCAAAGCTTCAACATCAGATAGGGCACACTACCTACACTGTTAACTGTTAGGGTTACAGGTATCTTACAAATCGCTTCTCATATTACTGTCTTGCTCATCGGAGATAGATTAGCAGAAACTTCTTTAAGTGAGATATTATGGGTTGGATTCTGAGAGACTGGTGAGAACAAAAGATGACAGGATCTTTGTTGCAATTGGTGGCTGTCTCAACTTGCAGATGGTGTCATACAAAACAAATCAATCAATCATTTAAAACACGACGTTTTCTTCTTTGATTTTTATTATTTATAGGAGATTGAGTTGATTCTGAAACTTAGAACAACAGCATTAACCGATGCAAGCTTAAACGACAACACTTACACACACTAAACACGCGTGCAAACCCTTTTCTGGAACTTGAGAGAACGCCAATCCATGCAAGCTTCCAATGAGCCTTTCTATCCCTGGTGACTTGTTGTGTGGCTACGAAATGTAGTTGTAGTCTGTTCTGGGGTGGTGCAAGAATCTTCTTTAAGTGACTTCAGTTTTCTTGACCTCCTCTCTGATCTCGATATCTTCGTCGACGGAGAGGACCACCACTTCAGGGCCACACAGCCCCGGAACGATGGCCTCTTGGACGTGAACATGCTCCACGACATCGACAACTTCCGTCTCCTCAACTATCTCCTTCTTCTTCTTCCTGTAGAAGAAGAGTGCAGCAGCCAGGAATGCGAGGAAGAATAGCCCGCCGAGACAAACGGACACCACGATCACCGTCGTGTGTCCTGGCGGCGGTGGACTATATGGTGGTGGTGCTGGTACCACGGGTGGACTATATGGTGGTGGTGCTGTTACCACGGGTGGACTATATGGTGGTGGTGCTGGTACCACGGGTGGACTATATGGTGGTGGTGCTGGTACCACTGGTGGACTATATGGTGGTGGTGTTGGTGCCAGGGGTGGACTATATGGTGGTGGTGTTGGTGCCGGGGGTGGATTACATGGTGGTGCTATTGGTGCCAGGGGTGGACTATATGGTGGTGGTTTTGGTGCCAGCGGTGGACTACATGGCGGCTGTGGTTGAGGTGGCGGCAGCGGAGGCGGTGATGGTGGCAGCAGTGGTGGTGAGCAGTATGAACATTCATACTTCTGAGAGCGAGGCATTCTGAAGAAGAATAGACGGAAATGTATTCGAGTTGTGCAGTGGAGGCCAAGTTCAAAGGCTGTGGGTATTTATAGAGGAATTAATCGGGACATGCGTGTTTAGGAATATGACTGTGAAGCTTAGAATAAGAGGTTCTCTCCATCTCGGAAAGCAATTGACTTGGAACGGCGCCATGCGCTTGTGCTGGAAGCAAACGAAACGAGTTCAGACCATCTTCCAAATCTTACCTCTGACAGTCTATTTCTATGATTTCTGTAGCCAAAATGATATAGAGAAGGTGTCCTTTGGGTGCTGCAAGAGAGTAGTCACCATAATTCTACATTTCACTCCATGCCAATCTAATTATTCTGTATCACACAATGTTTGGTTCCCCTCTCCGGGAATTAATCCCACTTGGATGTGAAACGCATGCTGCATTCAAGAAATGGAATCAAGTCAAACAGCATGCTGGCATGCCAAGTCAATCGGATGGTGCACATGGATCTGCCTTGTGCCTATCTATCGTCAGTTCCCAGAAAAAGGAGATGAAGCTCACAACGCCACATCACCCTGCAGGGCGTTGACCAAATATTTTGGAGTTCTTGAGGTCGCTACGATTCCACAGTGACGACAGACAGAGCGCTCCAGCATGGGCATGCATGTAAACAGACTTGGACCGAGGCAACGTCCACGTCATTGGTGGAAGCAAGCAAGCAATCAGCTTACTTGCATTAAGACGGCAAATAACAAGTGGTGCAATTAATATCTGCATTCGATGCCATTGACTGCTCATCAACCTTCCTTCCCTCCATCGATGATAACTGCCTCCGATAATGACTTCGAGGTGACGAGAGATTCTAAATCATCCACGCAATGGCTTCAGATCTCCACCTCAAGTAATCCTGAGGATATGAATTCTTAAGGACTGTGCAATCATCAGTCATAAGAGGAAGGAACCTATGGATTATTAGTGTGAGCATGTGGTTGCTAATAGGTCTCATAGGTTATTCTAACCACGAAAATGTTTCTTCTAGAGAAGCATTATCTGATTCGAATGAATCAATAGATGATGTATCTATCAATTGTTTCTCCAAGAAAACAAAACTAATGGTTCCAAAGTTTGGTTCTCACGTGAAATGGTAATCTCCTGTAGCTGTGGGTGATCATAAATAATTTGAAAGGTACGCTTTATGTCCAGATTAAACAAAATTAAAGGCACTTGCAATTAACACTGTTGTTGTTGTTGCTTTATTTTAATAAAAGAAAAGATAGGTGACAAACACAGAATTCGATTTTATTATAATTTATTAATATTTTTATCAACTAAGTTAACTGTCACATGACACATTTCTCTAAGAAAGGTGAAACTTGCATAGAAATATTACAAATATCTCATTCTTGGATTCTATCTTACTTTTATGTCATATAAATAATTTATGAATGATAATATTAATCATGAAATTAAATATCTTTGCTACTGGATAATTAGTGTAAAATTATGTTAGATATCATGAACATGAATTTTAATCGATTTTAGTATAGAGCTAGGTTGTCATCCGGAAGTAACCCGAGGTATCTTTATAATTTAGGTGTCCTGAATTATAAACGGTAAGCTAGGAGGTTGCTCGAAAGCGCCCATCACATTGATGCTTAAATATGATGTTAAGTAGGTAAGAGTTCTCTCATTGTTTTGGATTAATGGAAGTAAAGAAGTTAGTTTAATAATAGAATGTTAGGTTAGCAATTGAGAATATAGAAACACTTTCAAGGAAGGATTATAATTGCTAGACATTATGATTAGATGAAAAATAAATATTATTTACTTACACAAGACTAAGTGGGTAGACAAAAAAAATCTAGAGGTATTGATAGTACTGGATTAATATTTTGATATACTAGAAAAGTTAAATATAGAAATAGTGTAAAAATTATTATTTATAAGGATCTTAAGAATAATATTATAGATATAAAAGGATTTAAAAATAAAATTATAGTTCTAAAATTTATGAGAGAACAAGATGCTTTCAAAGTCATTAGTGCTTATGCTCGTCACATTGAATGATCAAACTAAAAAAGAATTTTGGGAAAGCTTAGTTGTTATCAATTAAGGAACGTCTATAACTAAAAAACTTATGATCAAGGAGATATAAATGGTTATGTAAAGAAAACATATGATTAATATAAATAGGTGCATGAAGGCTTTGGTTATAAAGAAAGAAATAAAAATGATGATATGATTTTAGATTTTGTAATTTAGTATGATCTTATAATTATGAATATTCACTTTTTAAAAAAAATTAATTACTTATAAGATTGGTCACAACTACAGTCAACTATATTTCTTTCTTACTAAAAAGGTAGATAAAACTATTTGTAAAATTAATAAAGTTATAATTGATGAAAGTTTGACTTTTATTTAATATCTAAAAAAATTATATTATCAAGATGAATGAATGAATACGTAGAATTATTAGAAAAGATAATAAAAAAAATACTTTTATTTGTGAACAACGATGAGAATCTTCAATCTTTCATGATGTCAATCATTTTAATGACATTAATATTATTATACTTATGGAGACAAAACATGAGTGTTTAGTCAATTAGAGAATATGTTTCCTTATCTATGGTTTCACTACTATTTAAAGCTTAAAGTTAGAAGTGTTTTTTCATTCAAATGTTATGAAAAAAGCATTTTAGGAGACGATAGTAAAAAAAAGAAAAAGAAAAAAGAAATTAATGTTAATGGTATGAGAAGTGATGAAAAAGACTTAATTTTTTTAAATAAAAATTATAAATATAAATATAAATATTTCAAACTTAACTAAATATATAACTTTTTTTATATATTTCAATGACGATAAGAGATTCATATAGTTGATCATAAATAACTGAGATTTATGGTTTTATTGTAGTTATTGCTACTGCAATTTGTTTCAGTATCAATGGAGCTCATTTCCTGCTATTCTACATCTCTATACAACTAAACATCAGGAAGAAAATCCAAGAAGTTCCACAAAGAAATGGAAAGCAATCTCAAATAAAGTCAATATGTTTGACTGTGTTAGAACCATATTTGCCTACAAGAAACAAATACAACAACTTGCTTAAAATAAGAAACCAGTATTCTCATTATTGCTAGCTATTTGCCTATGAATAACAAATGCATGGAACAAATTCAGAAACTTTGCCTGCTTCCTTCATCAGCTTGCCGAAAACCACCAGTTTTCCATTTAACTAATCGAAGGATGTGTCGAGTTTGGCAGCCTTTGGCCATGAATGAATGAAGTGAATAGGCGAAGAGCTCTAGCTGGTTGTGCATATGGAACCATGTGAGATGCACCTCTTACAGTTGCAAAAGTCAGTAGGTTCCCGTATTCCGTTACCCAGCCACCGACCTTGCCACGATGAGAAGAAAGAACATCAATACATTTGCTCGTTTTTGAGAGGAACATTTGCACAAGTAGATCATAAGAAATGGAACTAGCAATATAGAAAATAATCAAAATAGTGATACAGAAAAGTTAAAGAAAATAAAGCAAATTTGCACTTCACAATCTTGATTTTACAGTACAACAAGTAGATTAATCCCCAGCCTGAAGAAATATCAAGAATAAATGCATGTGCATGAGTGGATCAATTGCAATAAACAATGCTAAAGTATCTGTTTCTTAGGAAAAGAACAAATTAACAATGTTGTTTTCGATGTGTCGGAGAATGACAAAGGAATTTTGATTACCTGGCCTTTGTAAAACCAAACTCCATAAGGAACCGTTACACGGAAATTCAAGTCATGGGCTAGTTCCCGTACAAGTGTTCTCGAGCCCAAGAGTGGCACAACAGAATCTTGGTCACCACTGTAGTTACAAGAACATCAAGCAAAGATGTTCAGATTGAGTATGCAACATTAACATTGGGAAGATGTGCTTTCATGGTAAAAGAACTCACCTGAAAACCCAGACTGGTGTGCCATGCCTAATTATTTTCTTGAGCAAGGGCAGGATATCGATATCAACATCTGTGCTGCTGTAGTTCAGGAGCCTGGCAGAAGCAATATTTGGAAAATCAATGAAAATTATCATGAAAGAAGTATCATAAGTTTTGTTAGATAAAATAACATGAATAAACATTATAGATGAAATGAGTGAGAACATTAGGAAAAAAATATTTGGGAGATGGTTTACAAAAGATGGACAATGGAAAGGGATAAGATTTCATCTTCATTTGTTGTTAGATAAAGAACCAACATAAGTTGCTACTAATGAGTATTTATTATGCTTTCAATATATTTTTTCGTGTTTTGATTCAGAATTTCAAATAACTGGCAAATGCAACTTCCAATTATAATATGAGAGAACAATAATAAGCAGACAAGTATTTGTTGTAAAACCACATTTCATTTTTTATAGACTATCATGCACAGTGATTCTCTCAGAGTTCATGGCCTCAAAAGTGATTTTGATCCTAATGCTATTTACCCTAATTATCATTTCCCATATATCGATATTAAAACTATAATGCTTCCTCTGTAAGGTTTTAAGGATCATATGCCCATCCAAAAGTGTCAAAACAAAAGAAAAAAAAGAAATTAACTTCATATTGTTATACATAAAGCTCAAATGGAAACCATCTCTAGTTAAGAGTTTATCATATACGTATGGATACAAAGGAACAAAATTGAACTTGATAAGAACTAGAGCACTTACCCACTACACATGCCCCAAGAATAAGGCAATTTTGTCCTGTTAGCATGAAGAGCAAGCTGAACTTGTGGAAGATTGAAATAAAAATACCTTTCTACTGACATGCAAACATCAACGCCAACACTCATCTTAGTAACCTAATTTGAAACAAGGAGACACACACAAAAGAAATCCAATGAAAAGCAAAATAAATAACAATTGCTTATGATAATAAAAACTTAACATTAAGAAGGCCAATTTGTTATAAATAGACTAGAAAACATACATATTTTCGCAATCTCAACTCTTGTTCCACAATTGATGGGTAACAGACATCTAGAATCACATCATATTCATTTATGTAATCCCCAACAATAATATTTGCCTTCTCAATGGCATCATTGCATGCTTTGCTCACATTGTGTGGATTACTGAAGGTGTAATCTTCAAAATCACATTGGTTCATTATTGTGAGGCCTATTTCATCAGATATCATACCATGGGACCAGAAAAACTCATATGTTGCTGGAGCATCCCTATCAAGCTTAAGAAGTGGGTTCCCAATCTAACAATAACACAGAGATACAGTGTAAAAATTAATATGTCGTAAGAGATCTGATAGAAGCAGAACTAATTCTCCTTACCGCAACTCCTTTGATGTTGAACTTGAAACCAGTGGAATGCTGATTATGATCTAAAAGAACATTGGCCAATTGTGGTATGTAATGCCCTAAGACAAATCAGAGAAAAATGGTAACAAGATTCATTCAATGTATATGAAATTTTCTTAAGGGTTATTCTAATAGGCACCTGCATAGCTTTCTCCAGTTAGAAATAAGTTCTTCAATCTGAACTCTGGAAATTTGTCATACCATCGCAGAAGAAATTTATACATGTCATTAGCTTGCAAGAAAAGATCAAGGACCAGTCAGAAGAGAGAATGAGAAAAGACACTAATTATACAGTAAATAGAAAAGAGACATAGTCAACAATATATTAAGAATTTAGAAGACTTGCAATTCCATAGTTAATTTAACAAAGGCCTGTCTGGTTTGGAGTCTCATAGACCTACCAGTTGATTCATCTCCACAGTTATAATCAGAAGTTGTATTGGAGTAAGACCATCCAACTCCAGCAGGAGATTCAACAAAAAGGAGATTTGAAACTACAAAGTTGAAACAGATAAGATAACGACCTATATCATTGACAAGAATTTATTGTTCATCAAAATTATATCACATTGCTACAAAAGAAAAAGGCACCTTTATTCCATGACATTTTATTTAATCGAAGACCCCGTCCATCACCTCTAGGGAAAAATGGACCAAGCTCAGTAAAAGCACCCCCTCCAACTGAAGAACAACCTGGGCCTGGATACAAAATTCATTTTTAACATTTGCTAGCTCCGATACATTTAAGACATTATATATCTAGCAAGTCAAATCTAAAAATCAGAAACATGATATATATACATATATATATAGATACATACATATATATAGATACATGCATACATACATATATATATATATATATATATATATATATATATATATATATATATATATATATATATATATATAGATACATGCATACATACATATATATATATAGATACATACATAAATACATATATATATATATATACATACATATATATGTATATATATATATACATACATATATATGTATATACATATATATAACATATATATATATACATATATATATATATATACATATATAT